TGTTACCTTCAAGATCAATTTCTACTTGATTTAACCCATAAAATTGAGTTTTGTTGCTATAAATTAATGTATTTGGTTTGGTTCAGCTATAATACATATTATTATTATTATTAACCAGTTAATTTAGATGTTACTATTTTTTCAGTGCACTAGCAACAGAATCTGAAACCACAGCAATCCCATCATTTCGTCAATCCAGACCTCGTTTTATTACTCTCCATTACTCGCTTCATTTCTAACTAGGCCATATTCCAAAGCTACTCAACTTGAGCTATGAAGAGTTCTCAACAGCATGAACTTGCGTCAGAGCCTTACCTCTCTATAAATCTCTCAGCTGGCCACAGGATCCTAGAATCAAATATGTGACCCTGGAGCACAAAAGCAGTCTTAAGTCGCTGGGGTATATTTGTAGCAATAGCCAAAAATACATTGTATGGGTCAAAATTATTGATTTTTCTTTTATGCCAAAAATCATTAGGATATTAAGTAAAGATCATGTTCCATGAAGATATTTTGTAAATGTCCTACCGTAAATATATCAAAACTGAATTTTTGATTAGTAATATGCATTGCTAAGAATTTCATTTGGACAACTTTAAAGATGATTTTCTCAATATTTAGATTTTTTTGCACCCTCAAATTCCAGATTTTCAAATAGTTGTATCTCGGCCAAATATTGTCCTATCCTAACCATGCATCAATGGAAAGCTTATGTGTTCAGCTTTCAGATGATGTATAAATCTCAATTTCGAAAAATGTACCCGTATGACTGGTTTTGTGGTCACATATTTGTTTTAAAGCATTTCTAAGCAGTTTTCCCAAATCCTACACATAAACAATTCACACACTAGCAAATATGCACAAGTGTAATACCTACTCAATGCAGCTTCAGTTAACACACACAAAAACAAAAGCTTTAGTGTTATGTAACTTCAAAACTGTAGCTTGTCAAACTAGAAAAAGTATAAACTCATAGCACAGTATGAAGAAATATAAACACATAATACAGTATTAATAAAATAAAATGAAAGATTATGTTGAATTTTTTTTCCCACAAAAACATTGTTTAAATATAAAAATTATAATATAATAATATTTGTTTAAACAGAGGTGTTTTGTTTGTTTTAAATAACTTATAACAACTAATTCAAATGCAATTTAAATGAAGTGCATGAATAAACTGATTAATTGCATAATGTATTTATTGATTTATTTTCATCCAATGACAGTCAATGGTGTGCACTGTCATTTTAGATTCCATTAACTTTCATTGTGTGGACAAAAAAAAATGCATTTTTCGATGAACTGTCTCTTTAAATAACGTAGCAGCGTCACTACTTTTAGCTAGTTGCTTCTCTGCACAACTACAATCTCTATACTGAATGCTACGTTCTTATAGTTTTAATTGAGTATCTTTCTCAAGACCTTCAAGCAAGCAAGCTGATCGCTCTTATTGACTATACAGACAAACAGTACAAACATGTGAATGAACTAATCAGTTTTTAAGGAATCATTTGAACCATGATCAGCCCCGAGTCAGTTATAGGACAGAGTAAGTACTCAAGATTCTGTGGGACATGCTGATCATTGGTGAGCATTTATACAGCAGCTGCAATTCAACAATATGCTCCAGCAGGCCTGCGTGTGTATAGTGTCGGTGTTGATGCTGACAGGGCTCATTAAGTATCTCTGCCCGTATGTTAACATGCTCCTGACATCAGCAAAAGCTAGGGAGGCTTTTTACGCTGCAGATGAACCTGCATGTTGTTCTTCAATTAAATCCTGGTAAGGAATGCCGTAGCAGGAGTTCACCACGTCTCCCTGCTCACGTCATTTCGCCGCTGAAGGAACTTCCCCAATCCAGCATCTCTTTCTTTCACACTCTTCAGTTCCTCGCTGACCCTGTCTTCCTCGGTGTAACTCTCTCCATTATTATGCAATGCGTTTGCAAGCTCTGTCTTGATCTGCAGCAGCTCATGTTATCATTGTGACTCCCTTGGACATGAGGCCCAGACTAAATATTTTCACAGAAAGCATGTGAGACGTCTTAAAGAAGTCCAAATGGCCTTTAGGATTAAGGAGCGGCGTTTGTGGGTAGGGTCAGTCCAGCAGAGTAGGTGCGTCCAGTCCCGAGAGAACGGGTTCGGTTATCTGCCTTAGTTTCACATATCAATCTTTTGCAGCTTGGCTTTTTATTTGGAGTGCAGGAGTGCACAATATGTTTGTGGATACTCGTGGTGTGAATTATCTGAGTGTGTCCTCCGCTCTGTATCAGAAACTATCAGGCCCTTTACAAAGACATAATACACTCAGACTGTTGTACAAGGCGACAGATAAACATGGGGGACAGACCTTGGCTGGAGTGAGGTTTTCGATGCAAAAATCACTTATTAAAAAATAGAGCAGGAGGCTGAAATGTGAGCTTATGGACAATGTGTCCTTGACAATGATAGTATCAAAGAAAATCCTAAGAAAAAGATTCAATTTAAATCTAAATATACACTTTTCAGTGTAGTATAGAAATTAAATCTAATCAGAGTGTGCATCCTCATATGAGAATATTAAAATCTGAAATCATGTATGTATGTATATATATATATATATATATAAAACCAATGAATTTAGATTGTTGAATTATATGGGCATGAATTCTATTGATGTGACTGTGAGAGCGTTATAGGGCCATTAAACATACTGTATACAAAATATATAGCTTGACACACCATGTAGTAGCTGCTCTTAATATGTGAACACTTGTAAAGTTGATTTCTATAGATTATCAGCATGTTAGGCAGTGTCTACACAGTGCCCTCTATGGGTGAAACTGAATAAATGGACTTTGTGAAGAGATCTACAACAAGTACTTGTTCTGCTCAATCAGATGAATTCATCATTAATTCCTTTATATGAACACAAGCTCTTTCTCCTCTCTACTAAGATAATTCATTCTCACTTGAGTTCAAGAAAATCAACAAAGATCTTACTGGATGCATTCATAAAGCTATGGAATTTTTTTTTGCCTTATGCTTCAAATGCAGTGGCCATTATTGCCTGTTGGATCACTCTAGATGTTCAGTCGATGCCCCCAAACATGCTTATTAAAGTTTTACTAAAAGCTAATTCATTATATGAAATCAGTTTTTCTCCAGGATGACATTTATCCCTGAATACTAGTACTGTTATTGTGCCAAACCATGAGTGCATGGTTTACAAGTTTATCAGGCCAAATAGTTCCACAGTGAGAAACAGCAGAGGTTACTTATCACTCGAGGATCAAGTTAGCGAGGATAAGGACAGAGCATAAAGAGAAGGAGACTTTAAGTGGCTGGCAACCATAGTAACAGAGTAAAGTGCCTGACTCTGAGCGCTGTGGGAGAGAAGGCCGTGACCCATCTGTGGCAGGGAACATAGGGAATGAGTATTTTTTTGTGTGAGGTAGAAAGAGGTCATGGTGATTTCGAAGGGAAATGAAGCTACGTCTAAATCTCCCTTCTTTCTACTGGGGCGCCATCCTTGAGTCTTCACGTACCAGCAGATTGAATTAGATTTTCTCAGCAGTTGTACTCATGGGAACTTGGAAGCCCCAGTATTACCCTCTGCCACTTCATACGGCCCGCAGGGGAGTAAACATCAGCTCATATTTTCATTCATCCACAAGTTTTTTTTTTGCCTTATATGACAGGACTGCCAAGCACAGGTAGCTGTTGCCGATGGAGACATGAGTGACAGGCACATTTGTGAAAATGAAAAACATTTTAATGTTTACATACATATTTAGAAGATCAAACATAAACTAGGCATCATTCATAAAGCATGTGAACCTGTAATATTAGAAGTCTGTAAATATTATTGTGGTAGCTTAAATGTTTATCACAGGGATTCCAGTGTAATTCCTTTACAGTTAACTAACGGTTTGTGTAACCTCTGTGTGACATACTTATATAAAGTTATATTATTACCTTTAAAACTCAGTCAGTATTTGAGAAACTGGTTTGATTTTCAAACTAATGTTCCTTTTATGTTTATTAGAGCCAACTCTGATACCTATTTTACACTTATTCTGTTATATCGATGAGATGCAAAGATTTTTTTTCTTTGGTGAAACAAGTATAAATCTTGCTTTGCTCTGTACTCTTCCCAAGACACTTTTCTTTCAGTAGAAAAATATGTTGTCAACTTATTTGAACACTTGAAAAGCACCAAAGAAGTTTGTTTTGGCATAATTCAACACAATAAACCTTCACATGACTCCCTCACCCAGACTCCCAGGCAATCCAGGGAGCCTCAATATATTGCAAAATGCTAGATTTTCTCGATAATATAAACATTAGGAACATTTATGTATTGTAAAGAAAATTCTATATGCCTGCAGTACTTTCATTCATCAACTGCGGTTGCCCACATACAAGTTAACAATTAAAAATTGTAATCTAAAGCATTTTTTAAATATTAGTTCATTTTAATTTCAACATTTACAATACATTATTGAAATTAAAAGTTGTGTCTGTTAATATTATTTAATGGACTTGCGCTAACATGAACTAACATTAACAAAGATTAATAAATATTGTAACAAATGTATTGTAGTTAATGATAGTTGATGCATTAACTAATGTTAACAAATGAGACCAGATTGTAAAGTGTTACCTTAATTTCCATAATGTCTAAAGAAGAACTAATGGTTAATTAGCATTTATCAAGTCACATCCTTCCTTTTAGGAGGCCCACGAACTTGTCAAAGCTGTACAAAACGAACTGGAAGATGTGTGAGGAAATATGGATACAGTTGAAATGCTTTTGTAGACCTATATCCATTTTTGGACTGTCTATGAATCTGAATCATCCACAAGCAATGGGAATTATGCATAAATTCCTACCTTCTGAAATTCTGCTGAAGTGAGTCAAGCCCTTTGCATTGGAGCATCATAATCTACGTCGACTCCGGCTGGCCAATCAGCGCCTGTGTGCCGATTCTCTCAAGATTGCAGATCTGGCAAGAAGCGCTGAAAGACAGAGCGAGCGCAAAGTGACAAGACCTCCCCATACCGCCAGATAACATCCACAACGATATAAGACAACAAAAGCTAAAGCAATAGCAGAAATAAGACGAGGAAAAGAAGGAAACGTCTGCTGCAGTTGAACCAGGGATTGCCATCGGATCACTTTATACCGGCACATGTAATGTCTTGCTCTTGAGGATAATCATATGCGCAAAAGCCGTTCCCTGGCCCGAAAGTCGCGCGTGCAGAGTGGAGGCTGCGCTTGAAAACTTTTTTGTTTGTTTTGTTTTGTCTGTGACGTTTTAGAATTCGATTTATTAAACGTCGACTTTCCGTTATACCGTGGCGAAGAAGGAGGACCGATATAGTGTGGATTTTCTCCGGTTTCTTTTATTATTTATTATTTAATTTTACTGCAATTGCTATTATTTATATTATTATATTTTCTGGAGGAGCGCTAACGCTCAAGAAGTTCATTTTAGTGGATTCGACGCAGGTGCTTCGGTGCTGAAGGGCAGAATGGAATTGTTACTTTGACCCACGATATCACACGGTTCATTCATATTCATACTCCACTTTTAATAGTTCTGAGAGCCAGAGACTGTTCAGTGACGCTCGCCGCGACACACCACTGGAATTACAATCATGAACTTTGTTGTTTATTCGCTACAATTATTTTTTGCGGCTCTCCTTCATCTTTCTGCTGTAAAGGTAAGGGCTTTGTAATTCGGTGCGTTTAAATGATGGTAGGATAAAGCCATTCGTTTGTTATTAATGTGCAAACGGAGGTCAGATTACACGCAAGAGGACGAAAATGCATTTTTCCACAGTGCCATTACACAATTTATACACTATCACCTGAAGTTTCACACGGAATTTCCTGCTTAAAAGAATACTGTTGTGTCAGGAATATCTATCAATACTGTGGTGGTATACAGTTGCCCCACCAGTTTCTATCCTCGGAGGTACAGGGATTTAATCTCAATTAGACTTTTTTTTATATATATATAAACGCAAATTTCTAGTTGAAGCAGTTGTTAGATATAAAATAGACTACGTGATCTAACGTGAGTATCCATACGGGTTATTCTGTTCTGTTCAATTAGTCAGAAGGGAATTTCTTACTAGTAAAACTGTGAAAACAGACACAACATTTACTTTTTTTTTTGCATTTTATTAGTGCTCGCGATACCTTAATACTTGACATGGAGCCTAATGCAACCAACTGCTCTCTTGACGAGAATAATGACAAGATGTTACCTGAACGCCTTCGTTTCTTTGTCTCCCACCAAATTAATTCATTTACTTGAATCGTGATATGGCAACGCATGTTTGATGGCGTGGAACAAATTTGTATGAGGTAAACTACCGTCGTTTGTTTGTCGGTTGGTTGGTTAGTCTTCATGTTAGGTGCAGAATATGAAACATGTCTGCTTCGATATAAAGTAGATGGTCTGTGAGGCAAACCGCCGAGATTCTCACGCAACACCGAGAGCTGTTGCGCCAGTCCGCACACCACCTGCAGTAACCAACCAGCAGCCGATCACGCTCTCTCTCGCTGGCGAGACTAATCTGTAGGCGGGAAAAAAAGAATAGTCTGGGTTGTAGCAGGAGAACCATTCTGCAGCCGTTCTGAATGACAAATGAACTCCCATACCAAGATTTTATAAGATGAAATTCCATAAAAAAAAAAGATTATAAGAGATTGGTTAAATGTTCAACCCAACCTTCTGGGTAGTAACCCAACCGCTGGGTCAAAACAACCCAATTGCTGGGTTTGTCCCTATTTTACCCAGCACTGGGTTGTATTTAGCCCAGCATTTTTTAGAGTGTAGATTTTGAAAGCCTCTCTGGTTTTAAGGACCTGGGGCCTACTAGAGGGTCTCAGCAAGGGGACCATAGGATGACTTAAAATTAAAATAAGTCTTACTTAATCTAACTACACTCTAAAAAATGCTGGGTTAAATATAACCCAGCGCTGGGTTAAAAAGGGACAAACCCAGCTATTGGGTTGTTTTGAACCCAACCGCTGGGTCAAAACAACCCAATAGCTGGGTTTGTCCCTTTTTAACCCAGCGCTGGGTTATATTTAACCCAATAACTGGGTTTGTCCCTTTTTAACCCAGCGCTGGCTTATATTTAACCCAGCATTTTTTTAGAGTGTACAGTTTGGGTATATTTGCGATTACAGGGCTTCTTTAGATGTACCCACACTGGATCGTAGTTACACTTAAGGTACTAATATGTGCTCTGTAGGGGTAGATAAGGTACAAATACCAATATATACCCATGTAAAAGGGTACAATGTGTGTAGCTTTGATGCAACTGCCCCAGTGACAAGCTGTTGTACACCCTAAATGTTTGGTTTTTATATTTCCTCTGACATAAATTGACATCATATTTCTTGCTTTTTTATTTGTACCATCAACAGCTGAGCTGTTGATTTTACCGAAGGCATTACAGTTCTCGAAACTAATGGAATCATGAAATTAACTGCTGTTTATTAGCTGTTGAGACTGCAAGTTAATGGTAATTAAAGGTTTGGAAAACAAGCAGCTTTTTCACCATTACAGCAGTACCAGAGGAAATATTTCAGCCTAAATAGTGGTGCCTTTTATTATTTTCTCGGCCAATGGGAGTCAAAAAGGTTGAGAACCACTACTTTAAACTCCTTTAATAAGAGTCCTCAATCCTTACTTATGTACTAAGCATCTAATTCTACATTCAGACCACGTATAGCATAAATTAAGGTAATTTGGTTGCGCAAAGCTCAAGCATTTCCCAAGCATTACTGTTAGTTTCTTTCAGTGGTGTATAGCACAGGTCAGATTATAACTTGCTTTATGTGTTCTGTCACTTAGAACTGTCACTTCTCTGTCCTAATAGGCTGCCCACATACCCAAAGAAGGGGGGAAGAGCAAAAATGAGGGTAAGTCTCTTTTTATGTGCAGTGTTCATAAATGTTGAAGTATGTATGATATGAAAAATGTTTTGGAAATGGGGCTAAGAGTCCAGCGCCACCTGGAGGACATACATGTAATGACATTCTTAAGGCAAAGATTAAACTGCAAATGGTTTTATTCCAGTCCTGGAGTGAATAATTTATTCTACCCGCAAGCAACCTTGTGTGGAGTCATTGACCATGGCTGAGTTTGTTTATTAACAACGATTGCATGATTTATTCCTGATTTGTCCTCAAGGTCACAATTATTTGTTAGCAGTGGACCTGGTTGTTTGTATAGAGTCCCTGTTACGTTTCTGGGGAAACGTGTATTGTTATTTTTACGTCATTCCCAATCTGCTTCCATTCATAAGCACTTTCCCACAATGTAGAGCTCCTATGCTAGACGGTTTTGCTTTGCATTATATTAACATATTGAATCTTGGTTAGTAGTAGTCAGTTTCTATTTGCTTAATAACAAACAGAACCATAGTGTAACTGGCTAAGAGTTACTAAATCAAAGCAGACCATGTGTGACTTTGCACTTCGCTAAATAAAGATATGAGAGATACAAACAAAATGGCCATGCTAGGGCACTGGGTGAAATGTGGCTGGTACCACCAACTGATTACCAGCAATTATTGATTTTATCATGATCAGCATCATGAATGCAGTTGTGTTTGGTTTTCTTGCATGGCTCTGGGGCACTGGCAGATTTATGAGTGGCAGGGAGTGGCAGGCAGGGTGGGCTTCTCATGGAGGTCAGGTGTCTGCAGTGAAGCCTGGCGCCACACTGCCTGAGGTCATGCTTTTCCCTAGCAGTCTGCGGGTCATGAGGCACGTGATCAGAATGAATGATGGGAAGCCAGTTTAGGGAGGTTTACAGATTAGGGTGGATGTGCAAGTGGGGCACATGTGCTGGTGTGTGTGCCTCAACATTTTTTTTTATTCCCACTTGGGAAAGTGAAGTCCCCAGTGAGCAGAACAGGCCTGTGTAAGGTGTTATGCCACGGATTGCTTTAATGGTGGGCCTTGCTCAGGAAATGTTTTTGTAAAAAAAAAAAAATTATTTACTCACTCTAATTTTATTCCAAACCTGTATGCTGTTATTTTGACCGTGGAACACAAAAGGAGAATAATCTTCACACCACTCTTTTCATAGTTACCATGACTGCTTGCTATAAAAAGTATACAAGTATAAGTTGCAATTTAGTAAAATAAAAATATAGTAACTTTAAATGTTATATTAAATAGCACATTAAAGTTAAAAGCATAATCAAGTACTTTACATGTGGTTTAGTATATTAGTCAACACATCAAAATAAGTGTACTTCCTTTAAGCACAACAAAAGATTAATAACACAATGATTTAAAATGTACTTCCAAGTTAAACTTTCAATGTGACATTATTACAAAGTGCACTTTCATGAAAGTTGCCTTTTATTTAATTAATATTATATATTTATTATATGATGTCTAAACATACAGTTTGAAAACAATATTTTAAGATTTGTACACTACAAGTGTACATTCAGTACAATTAATTGCACTTCTTTTTTCACAAGGGTCAGGACTTCTGAAGTCGTATGATAGCTTTGTGTGAGGGACCGACTCAGTCATGGTCATTATGAGCATGGAAAAGAGCTGCATGAAGATTCTTCAAAAATTCTCTTTTTGCGTTTCACAGAAAAATAAATAAATAAGAGCACACAGGTTTGGAACGGCATGACGGTAAGAAAATAATGATAAAACGTTACGCGAACTGTACCTTTAATTTGACCAAAAAAATACAAATAAAAATAAAAAAAAGGTATGATAGTGACTGAACTTTCTCGCTTTGCTTCCTCTTTAGTGATTCCCTTCATGGATGTGTATAAAAAAAGTGCGTGTAAGACTCGAGAGATGCTGGTAGACATCATTCGGGAGTATCCTGACGAGATCGAGCACACGTACATCCCGTCCTGTGTGGTTCTCATGCGCTGTGCAGGCTGCTGCAATGACGAAGCGCTCGAGTGTGTCCCTACAGAGACCCGCAACGTCACCATGGAGGTGAGACTGGTTCAATCCAGCGCGTGCAGTCCTCCACCCTGCTTCCTATGACTTCATGCTTGCCCAACATTGGGACAGCGAAGCGGTGTTAACTGGCATGTCAGCTATGTTGTTTACCGCTGCACACTGTGTTTATGCCCCGTTTATGTGGCTGAAGTTGCTCTTGGCCAGAGTTGAGGCCTGGTCTTGTTATTCATTCAACAGTGTGTAAACTAAAATAAAAATGATAAAATACAGTCATATAGTGCATGAATACATGCTCTCACACTAAATGTGCTTTTTTTGTGTATTCCTGTAGGTACTGCGAGTCAAACATCGTGTATCACAGCATAATTTTCAACTGAGTTTCACAGAACACACCAAGTGTGAATGCAGGTACGTCTCTAAAACTAAGATTAAATGCATCTTCAAGAAATAGCTCATTGCAAAATGTAAATCGTGCCATTCGTGCTTATCATTAACTATGCTGTTATTTGTTCTGTGGGAGCACAAACTCTTCAATAATTCAATACACTCTATTGGACTGGCACACTATATTCTAAGTTTTCTGCAATCAAATTATACCTTTGTGTGAGGAACAGACCAAAGTTAAGTCATTATTTTATGACAGTCTTCCCTTGTTCTGGAGATTTTAAATCAAAGGTGCCTATGGCACATGTTGGACTTCAGTTGCATTAAACATTGTAAGTTATCGTGATCAAATTTCATTGGCATCAAATCTGTTGCGACATATATAATGGCACTGTATTTGCTTGGAAATATGGTGTTGTGTTAAAGATCTGCTTGAAGATTCTTCCAAAATTATGTTTGTGTTCCAGCGAAAAAGTAACACCAAGGATGAGTAAATAGTGACATGATATTCATTTTGAGTGAACTGCTCCTTTAAATCATGAAATGTGAATTAAACCTCTGTTGCATCTGTCTTTTATAGGCAAAAGGAAGAAGTCAAATCAAAGAAAGAAAAGTAAGTTGAGTTTTATTATATTATGGTTATTTCCTATGTCAAGCTTTCGGGTGATTTTAAAGATAACAGATGTTTCTGAAACAGCCAGTTTGTCCATTTTTCATCTGGGACATTGTGGGATTTGGTTAAGATTCATATGTTGAAAGTGTGGACAGTTCTATGGTGCAGGGCGTTTCTAAACTCACGGCTAAAAATTGCAATGACTGGGTTGATTGACTGGCGATGAGAAGCAGCCAACTGGACACTATGTTAGCACAGTTAGCACTTAGCAATCTGACTAGCAGTCAAGATCAAGTGCCGAAGATGCAACGTATCTCTAGCTGCTCGCCTGGGTTGACCAATCAAATTGAGAGCATAACGCACTTTTAGGAATGTGTTCCAGTAGGAGCTAGTCATTCAGACTTGATTTGTCAGTGGGTTAGTGTTTATATTATGTACGTGACTCACAGTAGGTACAGCTTCAGCAGTCTTTGTTGTCTGTATGTGAATGGAGCGAATGACAGCTGAGATGATGTGGGTGAGAAATTAAAGTATGCATATCTTCATCATTGCCAGATTCATGCTGCTTGCTTTGTCATAACTGGTGCATCCCAGTTGCTTATTGTTCAACACTAGTTTTAGGGTGGTTCACAAGAAGTTTGCCTTGTATGAGAGCACTCTAAATGAACTCAGATGTCCACAGCACCAGCGCAGCTCACTTTGTAAACACACAGCACTCTGAGTTTACTTTATTTTCACTTATATGTATTTCCAAATATAAAGTTCCAGGAAATCCAGCTCACAACGTTTTAAAGTCATCTGGCCACTGTCCTTGTTAATTAAAAATGCCCAAAATAAATATATTCTTAAGTTCAAATGTTCTCCAGTGCCATCGATCTGCTGCATTTTCATGACTTAAAATAGAATAACATTAACTGAAATAAAATAAACCATTAAAAAATAAATAATAATAAAAAAGTAACATTTAATTTCAGCTGAATAAATACAAATGTAATAAAAAACTATATATATATATATATATATATATACAGTATGAAATGATGTTTTTCTGTCAATATGGGGTGCTGTGTGTACATTAATGAGGAAAAAAAATTAACTTAAATGATTTTAGCAAATGGCTGCAATATAACAAAGAGTGAAAAATTTAAGGGGGTCTGAATACTCTCCGTACCCACTGTATATAAAATTATAATAGTATATCACACTGTCTAGACCTTCAGCACTCCCTCTACTGGATCACTATCGCCACTGAGTACAAAATGTTCACAAACGTTGTGCAAGCATTATGAATAAATAAATAAATAAATGCATATTAAATAAAACAAATATGAAATTAACAGAGAGAACTGTGAGTGTGTACACATGAACAGTGCATTAAAAAGCATGGTACTATTCATGATGATGCTTAATTGTTTGCTAATTCTGCCGCAAATATATTGTGAGAATTCAATACATCGCCCGGTTTACGACCACAGCCGTCATGACTCCCACAGCACGCCTCGACACA